ATTTAAAATCTACTTTCTAGCTTTTTTAGATGCAAAATCATTAGTTATTGTTTTATAATCAATTTGTTTTAATATTTCCTTTTCATTTGATAATATAACTTAATCCATTCAATCTCTCTTGAGACATTGTTGATCTTAAATAAAATTTAATAAATTTTAGTTTCGAAAAAATTCTTTTGGCTGAGGCAACGGCTGGAGAAACTGTTAACATAATTCTATAAGCAATATGTGTATTTAGAAAAGAATCAAGTCTTTGATTTGATTGAGCATTTTCATTAGATCATTATCTTCTACATGTATTATTTCTCTTAACACTTTCAATTCAAAAAATAAATCTAAATCATCAATAGCAGAATAACTATTATGTGTTAAAGTTCAAGGTTAAGACAATGCCTTTTAAATTCTCATCATCTAGTGATCTCAATTTACCACTAAATAAGAAACATAAAATATTTTCATATGCTTCAATTGGTTCAAATCTATTTTGAAGTGAAAAAAATAAGCTTGATCTACTATATATATATATATCTTAAGTAATCAACTCTAGTTTCAAGGGACTTTGTGATTTCGTTATCAATATTTTCATCAAATTATTTTTTACGAAATTCAGATTCTATATTCACTTCATATGTAATTTCCTAAGTAAAAATCATAGCACTCATAGTACATATAATTTTTTTTTTTAAAAATAACATTCATAAGTAATTTTTTTTAAAAAAAAATGATAGCCCCCAAAAATATGGAGCCCCAAGCGATTGCTTTAGTGGCCTATGGGTTAAGACGACCCTAACACACATGTAGAATATGCGTCAGATGTGATCTTTAATAATTTACTATTGATAGAAGTCAATGATCTAACGTTTCGATGCCTCATTTTGAATGAAACAAGGATATTATGTTTTGTTAAATATAAAAGAGGACAATTGAAAGTAATATAGCATATCACGAGAAAATTATTTTGTAACACCCCGACTTTTCAAAACGTCTAAATTAACTCGTATCTTCGTGGAAAGTCAAGGAGGGTGAGTAATAAATTAAAAATGATGTGTTATGTGATATTTTAAGTGTTCAAGTGTTGTATCTCAAGGTTTGAAGCTAGGTAAGTGGCAAAATAAAAGTTGGCGAAAGTTACCGTAAATTCCTTTTTAAAGATTTGTCTGAAATTTGGGTCAAATGTCTTGGAGGTTTTCTCCCAATCTATAAAGAGTTATGGGGCCCACAAACTATCGAATCGAAGGTCTATGAGTCTAGTTTCCAACGCATCAAACCGTTCATTCATACGACTTCAGAATAAAGAGATATTCGCATTTTCGTGGGACTGCGCAATCAGGCACGTGAGGTGGGGCCCTAGGTCGGTGGAAAGTTGTATATATCTTCTTCTTCGAGTTTTTTCTTCATTTTAAGCTAAATATACAGAGAAAACATAGAAACCCATTTTTAGGATCAAGTGAAATATAGATTTTCTCGACGTAAGT